TTCGCACTCAGTTTGGTAAGACAGTGAAATTATACGGTCTTATCCGGGTGGTGAGTGCAATTCACATCCTCTGCTGGAGTTGTATCGATCTAATGGTATTATTTCTCAGCAGTTGTGTCCGGGGGTGCATGTCTCAGCAGAATGGATTGGTTGAAAGGAAACATCGGCATGTGCTGGAGCTGACTCAAGCTCTTCTTCTGCAGGCGCAAGTTCCCCGTGGCTTTTGGGTTGAGGCAATCCATGTTGTCGTCTATGTGATCAACCGGCAGATTAATTACTTCCAGTTTGCAGGATCGCTCTCCTTACTTTTGTCTATACTCCAAACAACCCGATTATTCATGGTTGAGGGTGTTTTCTTGCGATACAGTGACCGTCATAAGGGGTACCTTTGTTATGATCCTCAGGAGCGTCGAATGCGCATATCTTGTCACGTTGTCTTTCTTGAGCAGGTTATGTTTTACTCTCTTCCTCCTGAGGAGCACAAGTCTACTTTGAATTTTCTTCAACCTTTGCCTGAGTTCAATATTACTCCTCCTGTTGTTGTCGAACCAAGTGGCCCGGATCCGCCATCTCACCCGGTTACTCCATAATCCTCACATCAATCCTCCTCATCGAGCTCTTCTGGCCTGGGTTTTTCCACTTCCACTTCATCTCCCTCACATCACACCCAGTCCACGCCGTCCTCTTCCTCCTCCTCCTCCTCTGATTCGAGTGTCCATTCTAACCCGCCATCGCCTCCCATGCTTCGTCGGTCCAATCACAGCACTCTAGGCCAACCTCCTCTTCGCCCGAGGGACTACAAAGGTTCTCTGTTAAACCAATTCCAGTCCCTACTCACTATCGATATGCAGTTGTTCATCCCGAGTGGGATGCAGCCATGGCTGAAGAGACTCGTGCGCTTGAGGTGAATAGGACAAGGGATATCGTTCCTCGAATTCCGGGTGTTCATGTGCTTGGTAATTGCTGGGTGTATAACATCAAAATGTTTCCGGATGGTAGTATTGAGCGTCATAAGGCTCGTCTTGTGGCACAGGGTTTTGGGCAGGAGTATGGTATTGATTATGACGAGACATTTGCCTCGGTGGTTCGTATGCAGACTGTCCATCGTATTTTATTGTTGCCGACATGCGGAACTGACCGTTTATTCAGTTAGATGTGAAAAATGCCTTTCTGCATGGTGATTTGAAAGAAACCATTTATATGGAGTGCCCTCCTGGATATGACAAAGGGGGGAAGGATGTGATGCAAACTACGGAGGTCTTTGTATGGGTTGAAACAAGCACAGTGTGCATGGTTTGAAAATTTTCATGGTACGATTCTGCAGGCAGGCTTTTCTCAGAGCACGAGTGATCCTTCTATGTTTTTGCGGAACACAGTTCATGGCATTGTTGTTTTGTTGCTCTATGTTGATGACATGATAGTGACAGGCAGTGATGTAGATGGAATCCGAGAGCTAACGCCGTCTTTACATTCTGCATTTATTCTCAAGGAGCTAGGGGATGTGTCATATTTCCTTGGGTTGGAGGTGAGTCGCTCGAAGAAGGGGTTGTTCATTAGTCAACATAAGTATATTGTTGATCTTCTTGAAACAACTTAATACAGTGACTACAGATCATGCTCTCCTCCAATGGAGCATAATCTAAAGCTAAGTAGAGACAATGGAGAGTTGCTGGAAGATCAGACCTTCTACAGAAGTATAGTAGGGAGTTTGATTTACCTCACTCACACCAGACCTGATATTGCTTATGCAGTACATAATGTGAGTCAGTTTATGGGGGCAACAAGAACGTTACATTTGGATGTTGTACATAGGTTGCTGAGGTACTTGAAGCATATGCAGGATGTGGGAATGTTTTTTCTAGCAGATAATTCATCTATATTAGAGGGATTTGCTGATGCAGACTATGCAGGATGCCTGGATACTCGACAATCCACTTCTAGATTGTGTGTTAGACTCGGTCGTTTATCTCATGGAGATGTCGCAAACAGGATAAGGTGTTGAAATCTTCAACTGAGGTTGAGTATCGTTCTATGTCGGAGTTGAGTTCTGAAATGGTTTGGTTAGAGCGTCTGATGAATGAGCTAGGAGTCGAGTGTCAGGTTCCGATGCGTATTTATGGAGACAATACTAGTGCTATTCAGATAGCAATTAATCTCGTGCTTCATGATAGGACAAAGCACATAGAGGTTCACGTACACTACATTCGGCAGCTAGTTGCAGAAGGGAGGATACAGCTGAGCCACTTGTCGACTGAAGACCAAACTACTGACTAGTTGACAAAGGTTGTTGCATCCAGCCGACATTGGTATTTATCTTGCAAATTGATGTTACTCACACGACATCAATTTGAGGGAGGGTGTTAATTATATAATATAAAGTACCATTATGTAATTAACCTAGGGCAACGTCGGCTGTGCTTAGGTTACAAAACCTATATATATGTACTCGTGTAAACTGTGTAGAATATCAAGTAATATAATCCTAAAACATGTGATGGAGATTCTTACAGTGAACTAGTGTCATATTGACGAAACCACGTTAACAAACTCGACGTTCTTTATGTTTTCTTGCAAGTTTGACAACAACATTTTAACAATTCCGAATGACGCCAATTTCAACGTTGGCAATATTTCACAATTCCCTTGCTCAAACTATCACTTAAGTTAATTAAATATTGGCTATCTCAGAAAATTCCAACAGAAAAATTAATGCCTGATATTTTCCGCTTTTTTCCTCCGAGCCGCAATGCCGATCAAGTTAGGCTAACTCCAATGCATTCCCCATAAATGGAGAAGTCTGCAAAAAATGGAGAAAAGTAGCCTCCAATGGATCCCCATAAATGGGGAAGATCTCCAAAAATAGGGAAAATCGTCATTTGGATCGCTGAAAATGGGGTAGGTTTTGGCGATTATGTTAACCTTTATCATTATCAAGTGTTGTGTGTAATATTTAAGTTTTATCATTTTCAAGTGTTGTGTGTAATCTTTAAACTTTATCATTATCAAATGTTGTGCGTAATCTCTGAGTTGTATCATTTTAACTATTATGTGTGTAAACACAACTTAGGCCTTCGTTCTCAAAATTTGAAAAATTTCTATCGGAAAATTTGTATTTAAAAATGATGACAAATTATACAAAAATTAACATAAAAAAATTATATTAAGATGATAATAAGTACATTCTTAAGTAAATAAAAACTAAAAAGAAAAAAATCTTCAAATTTGGGGATAATAGTATTGGCGCCAAAATAAAAAATGCGCCAAATTTGGAGACTTGAAGGTGGCCTTACAAATGCCATACTCAAAAAGAATATCCTGCGATTTACAAAATCCCAAATAGAGGACATGGATGCTTTTTGGTGTTTCAGTTTTGTTCAACATAAAAAGAACATATTATAAATCCGAAATTTCCAAGGAAAGGACAAAAAATATAACACGTAATGGATCAGGGCGCGTTTTTTTTTTTTTTTTGCCATAGATAGATCGTAAATAGATAGGGTGTTACAATTCTTGAAAATTAAAGGCGGTAGTCAACCTAGTGTTGAGCTACCGATGCAAGGGCCGTTTTTGCCACTCAATGGGCAGCCCTGTTAGTATGCTTAGAACCATAAATAAACGAAAAAAACACAAAATAAGTCATCCTTCGACAAACTTCTTGATGCACCCATCCGCCAAGTAGAGCCTTCATATCTCCTATGAGTCAAGCTTCAATAGGCCAACAGTAGAGTTGATGTACAAGCTACCTGCAAGATGAACACACAAACGACCCCTAACGGAGCAAAGCAAATTTCAAGTACCAACGGACCTCTACCAAAGATGCTCCACAAGCTCTATGAACTACTCCGCATGCTGTGAAGTCGTCGGAGAAAGATGAAACGAATCCCTATAGAGAAGCCTTGTCGGTGATGGTACCAAACAGTCGCACGAAGACGAAAGCGGCGAGATTGGGGAAAACCGACGAAAGAGGGCACCAAACCTTATTTTCTAAAAGAGTTTGAAATTATAATTGAAAACAAATAATAATAAAAAAGGGAAGGGGGGGGGGGGGAGTTAGTAAAATTTATTGAGCAAAAGAAATGTAGAAAGTGGCAAACTCAATCAAATAAAAACGTGAACGTGCAGTTATGAATTATGCTAAGGGAAAAGTAAAAAAGTGTAAACAATAATTATGAAAATCGGAACACCAAAAGAATTAGATGAAAATTAAAAAATTAAATTAGTAATGCTTATCTTGGACGGTTGGAATCCACCGGGGATTGTAAGTTGTAACCGTCTTGCCACGAATGAGAGATGGAACTGCACAAGAATGGAACCATCGGTCATATTGCGGCCGCCGAAAAGTGGCCATCCGTCGGATAGATTCGCTGTTCCCGGTACCCCAGCACGCAACTCTTTTGAGACCCTGCAAAAAAATAGGCAGAATCTCCCGGAAAAAGGATTTGATGGGTGGAGGAAAACCAGAAGCGGCGACACATGATGGCGTTGGGCAGCAAACTGCTGGAGCGCACGGTGGCGATAATGAGTGTAATCCCACAAATGGGCTTCGTACCGCCCTGTCCACCGTTGCCTGGTGACGCCTCTCCGACAAATGAATAGATTTGTTCGCTAGGAATAGGGCATGAAGGAAGAGGAAGAGAACTGGCCGATGCCCGGTCTCTCGTCGGGATTTGCATTCCTCCGGCATTCCGCAGATTTGGATTAAGGGTTCAAGTTTGGGGATTTTCCGCGTTTTGTTCTTGTTCAAGCTTTTCTTAATTAATATTTATTATAATTGAGAGTATTAGCTATTTTTTTCTAAGACGTGATAGATATTTTTTTTTGGTGAAAATCAATGCAGTTAAAAGCGTGTTTCTATCTAGAAGCGAAAAAGGGGTAAAACCGTAAAGCATATAATTAAAACGTAAAAACGTAAGTTTTTGACGCACGTTGTAAAATAACTAAAAATCTGTTAAGTACGGCATATACTGTATAAAATATGAGTGCATATAATTTAGATAAGTTAATAAATACTTTCAATTCATGCCTAAAGTAGAACAACTTATAGCCTCTTAATAATAAGTTCATAAACATAAATATTAACAATAAGCAGTTGTCCCCTCTATGCTAATGAATTTGGGAAGAGCCTAGCTGGTAAATTAGATTACTCTATTGAAGCTGAAATGTATTCAAGTACCATATGTATCATATTATTGGTAATTTACCTTTAATTTCATGAAAATAATACCTATTTAGTGATCTAAAAGCGTAAATTCATAAAGCGTTTTGGTGACCTAGAAGCGTAAAAACGTAAGCTTTTAAGGTTTAAAGCGCAATTTAGTCCGATTTTATACACTTAAGTTTTTATATTGAAACGAAAGCGTTTTGCTGACCTGAAAGCGTAAAATCGTAAGTTTTTAAGTTTTAAAGCGCGATTTTGACTGCATTGGTGAAAATAGTCCATTAGTTGGAAAGTTCAAACCGAATTAATGTTTATTCTATTTTTTATTGTTTTTTAAATTGATGTAGTGTATTTAATATCGGTCACAATTGTTGATCATTCAAGTTAACGGTTAATCCACGAGTCGAGTCAAATTGGTCTAATTATTTTGAATTTTAGACATGATAGAGATTTAAAAGAATTCAGGCAAAAACAGTCCATTAGCATAAAGTTTATGCCAAATGAAAGTATTACAAAGTGATCATCCAAAGTTAAGATTCGAGGTAGACAAAGAAACTCGAGAGATGGATATGTGGTATGAAGTCACAAATGAGTATAGTGGGAACAACTAAGCGGTGATCGGCGAGCAACGATAAGAAGTCGGAGACGGAAATTTACTACGGCTCATTCCAATTATTTTCTATTAAAATAGCCGTTATTATTTTGGAGAACTATACATTTTGTTTGATTGCAAAACGATAAGTCATTATAATTTGCAAAGAAATTTTTGTTTTCGTAGTTGGTTTTATAGAAAATAAGATAATGAAAATATTAAATGTAGGGTAAAATGGCTGCATTAGACAAATAACTCATTTGAAAATGTATCATCTGCATTTTTTAAAAAAAATAATATATTTGAAAATACCTACAATATATACATGATCAAAAATATCTATGTATCTCAAATGATTATGTTTGTACAAATCACTCATTTTAAATCCACAAGCAAACCATAAATCTTCTTAAAAATTTGATGAATATAGGGTTAGAGGAGGATTAGAATGTGATTCTCTAACAATTTAAACCACAAAATACTAAAAAGTAAAAACAAATGTTTTCCCAAAAATTAGCTACTTACACATCTAAAATTAGGACGAGAAAACTTGTTTCTTAAAGTTGAAATTTATAATTAACAAATTTTCTTTTCTTTCTTGTGTAGAAAAACTAGTTTTCCTCTAGTTGACAACTTGGGATCAAATTCCTTCTCTTGTCTTATCTCTCTCTCTCTCCCCAGTTTCTTTGTTTGTCTCTCTCTAGCAAAAAGGAGCCAACTTTTTCTCATCAAATCAGATTCAAATTTTGCCGAGAAGAGACGAAATCACGAACCAACAGTTGCTTGCAATAATTAAATTGATAAACAATCAAATTAAGATTTCTGACGACTTTCAGGACGACTTTCAGGCGCATGCTTGAGAGAGAGACGAACAGAGAAACAGAGGGAGAGAGAGATCGAGAGAAACGGAATCACAGCAGCTTTACCTTCGTTTCGTTGTCGTAGTAGCTTGCATCTGTTGATTTGCATTGAAGGCGGTTCATTGTTCTCTTTCTCGTTTGTGAGAAATCCGAGCATCTTGAGGATTTGATAGAGAGACACGGCGACCCTCCTCTGTCCCCTGTCCCTTTCTTCTTCTTCTTCTTCCCACCTCGCTCTTTAATGCGAGTCTCTCTATTTATTCCGATCCCCATTTGCCCTCAAAATCAAACTCCATAACGAAATCCCAGTTCATTTCTTATGCAATTTTGAGCTGCACGAGCCTTTTCCAAGGCAAAGTTTTCATCTTTCCCCCCTGATTTTTAATGGGTATGCTCAGGGCTGCTTTGTTCTCGAATTTTCTTTGATTGGTTGTTTTCATTATAACGTGGCATGGTTCAATTCCTCCCTTTGATATGAAACAATTTCTTCTTGCCTTTGAATTTGTCTTGTTTTGATGCTTGCTGGGTATGGAACATGTGAACTATCATCATCAAGTTTGCCTTTCCTAAGCCTTTTGAGTTTTGGGGTTTTCGCTCAAACTCTTCCTATATATATATTTTTTTCCAGAACCCAGTTTTGATTGTTTGTGCCTGATATGTAGATGGACGTTGAAGAAGAAGAAGACCATAAAGAAAGTGCATGACTTTTGACCTTTATGATGATCCTCCCTCAGCTTGATACTTCAACTAAGGGATCGAATTCGGCATGGGGGATAGAGATAGGAAGGATATAAGGCCCCTTTTGCTGAGATTTGGTGTAGTTGTATCGGTTTCCTTTGCTGGATTCCTAGCCTCTCGCGTGGCAGCCAACAGAATCCATATGGCCAAGCAGCAGCAGCAGCAGCCTCCTCGTTCCCCGAGATCTCCAGGTTCGCATCGATCATTTCGTACTGCCAATGGATTGGTTTTGTTTTGATTTTGTGCTGTTTGTGTAATTTCTATATACTAAAATGATCAAGATGTTTTTTCCCCAATATTGGTGGCTTAGATCATGAGAGTAGTAGTAAAGCTGATGTTGGAGCAAGCAAGGCCTTTTGCGATGATGACATTCCTTCTGTGAAAAGAAGTCCTGGTTCTGGTTGCATGGGATTGGATGGACAAGTAAGTTTTGATCATAAGCAGATTGGAAGATGGCCAGTTGTTTTCAAATTTAATGCGTAACCTGTTTGTTGATCTGGTGTTCTATGGCAGAATGTTGTTTGCAGGGTGAAGGCTGCCGGTGAAACTTCCACGGGCAACTTTTCACCAAGCTGCAAGCTGAGTGGAGATAAAGATGGCTACTTATTGCCAGAATTCAATGATCTAATAAACGATTTCGGTGTTCCTAAGCAACTTAGAAGTGCTGAGGAGGATGAGAAAGAGATTAGGCATTTAAAGAACAAGGTGAAAACGTTGGAGGAGAGGGAGAGGAAGCTCGAGGCCCAACTGGTAGAGTTGTATGGCCTCAAAGAGCATGAAACTGCTGTCACTGAGCTGCAGAACCGAGTCAAGATAAACAACATGGAGACCAAGCTTCTCACCCTCAAGATGGAGTCTTTACAAGCCGAAAACCAGAAGCTTGTGGCTCAAGCTTCGGAACATACAAAAACTGCTTCTGAGCTGGATGCTGCGAAGGCGAAGATCAAGTTGCTGAAGAAGAAGTTGAGATCTGAAACTGAACAGAACAAGGAACAGATCTTGGCACTTAAGAAAAAGGTTACCAAGCTGCAAGAACAAGAAAGCGGTGCTGCTTCCAGTGATTCTGAGCAGAGGCTGAAGGATTTGGAGGTACAGACAGAAGAGTTGACAAAGTCTAACATGAAATTGAAGCAAGAGAACTCAGATTTGGCTCATCGATTGGAAGCCACCCAAGTGCTTGCAAATTCTGTTCTTGAAGATCCAGCGGTACTTACTTGTTTCGTTGCTGTTTTACCTTTGATTTAATTAACATAAATTGTCACGGCTGTTGTCACGGCTGTCTGGAAATGCTTAAGCAAAAGAATGCCTTAGATGCCCTCTAATTAGCCTTATAGTAGGGAGGGATGAAAAGGTTAAAGAGTTATTTTTTGGACTTGTGGGTTAGAACTGGATCAAGTAACAGGGTTTGGTTTAGGAGTACGAGTTAAAATGGAGTGTATAGGTCAGCTAATTAGGATCTATGTTTTTCTATAGTTTATTTGGTTGAGTCAGCATGCTAATCTGGACAATCAAGAAGAAAAAATTTGACAGAGATGTATCAACTTGTCAATGATCCGAAAGTTGAGTGGCCATTCACCAAACTGACCTTTTTTGTTTGACTGCTGTTTTTTCTTTGTATGAAACTGGGCATCTTTTGTGTCTATAGATGGAGGAGCTGAGGCAATTGAGCAACCGGCTAAGCGAGGAGAACATTCATCTGAAAAAAGAGGTGGAGCGACTCAAAGCCGATCGATGCTCAGACGTCGAAGAGCTTGTCTATCTCAGGTGGATCAATGCCTGCTTGAGGTATGAGCTGCGAAATTTTCAGGCGCCGAATGGGAAAACAGCTGCACGAGACCTGAGCAAATCACTGAGCCCCGAGTCTGAGGAGAAAGCAAAAAAGCTGATACTTCAGTATGCGAATCCTGAAGGAATGGGGGAGAAAGGAATGAGAATGGTAGATTTTGAGACAGATCAATGGATTTCCTCCCAAGCATCATACATCACAGATTCCACACACTTTGATGACACTTCCTCAGTATCAACAAAGGCCACCAGCATCAGCAACCATAGCCCCAGAAAGCTCAAGATCTTCAAGAAGCTCAGGAGGTTAATACGTGGGAAAGATGCTCACAGCAAAGATGAGCACAGGATGGAAGATTCTGATTATCCTAGCAGTGTGTCAACTGGGACTGATGCAGGAAGTGACACACAGTCCAATAGAGGTCTGACACCATTGATTTCATATCGGTACTCTACTGATAGTCAAAGAATGAGCATTCCTGGGTTGTATGATGCTAAGGATGTGGAGAGTCTTCGTGCAACGAGTGATCTGGGGTCCACCGATTTGCTCAGGAGGTTTTCATCAGGCCCAGAAACAAGTAGAGACTTTTTACCTGAGAATGATGACCTGGGGAAATCTGACTTGGTTAGGTTTGCTGGAGTATTGAAAGATTCCAATGGTAATAATGTAACGGAGCTACAACATAGAAAAGGGAAAAGCAGTATCTTTTAGCTGATACATATCTAAAGAATAATCTCTGGTCTAAATGCATTACCTAGATGCATGCTGTATACAGTATACTACTTGTTTTGTAGTTGTGAAATGAAACGGGGAAGTGAAAAAGTTGTGAGCTATGACTATTGAGTTCTTGACTTCTTTCTCTGCATACTTCAATTCTTAAAGCTCCATCAAGAGTGGTATATATGTATACACTGTGGAACAAGGGTTATACTCAACCCACTTGGAACTCAACAACTAATCTTAATATTAATCCTCGGCATCTAAATCAATGGGGCAAGTTCCATCATCTACATTGGCTAGAGGATTGTAAAGATGTGAACTAGGATCCATGCACCCTTCAACTAGATCAAGATTGCATCGATCACCCTGCAAATTTCACAGCACAATGTAACAGAATTAGCAGCCTGTCTTTTTCATTTTGACACTTGAGCATCAAGAAAGGGTTTACAAGGACTTGGAAATGAATGCTTTTCACTTACTCCTTCGATCGACAAGTTACCAATCATTGCGCATCTCGTGGCAACAACCTCAGTGTCCGGGAATATTGCTCTGTCACATGCACCTTCTTGACTTAACTCTTGTGCTAGACCCTGTCATGAAAAAGTTATAGATTCAACAAATACCAAAATTTTCATCCTTGATTTGTACGGAAAAAAACAAGTAAAAGCTGTGGATTCTTCTTCGTTCTGGTTACCTCGTTGAAGAACTCGATTTGTTTGTTTCGCCAAGCCTTTGGAACTTGGAATTGCAGTCTGTAAGGGCCATCCCAGTCAACTCCATTTGTGAATGAGAATATCAAGTTCACAGCTGCAGTTAACACTGAGAGTGAGCCAGTGGATGTACAAGATAAAGGTAAGAGATCAACAAAATTAGGTAGGGTTTGACCAACCATGCTTAGGAACACATATTTGGATGGAATATAATGGGGCATCAGCTTTTCCTCTAACTTTCTCAAGCATTGCCCTTGGCTCTCCACCACACATGATAGGTTGGTTAAATCCACCTGGAAAATGGTGCATTTCAGAAAACTTTCAACAGCATCAACACATTAAGCATCCTAGTTTATGTGAAACAAAAAAGAAGAAAAGAAAATCACCATTGAAAGCAATCCCAAATTCTTCACTTGGAGTGAGTTTCTTAGCTGCCGGATTGTAGAAAAGCTTCAGCATCTCTCCCTGAACGAGAACACAAGTACAGCATTAGGAGCTGACCATCAAAAGGAACGTGTGAATGCAGCAAAAGGTTTATCATTTGTTAACTTCCACACTCACAGAAGATGGAGGAAGACCATTCATGGTTTTCCAATAAACCGGTGCTCTTCCCATCTCAAACATTGCCCATGTTGGAAGTGCATATCTGAGCCAAAGGAATAACAGTGGACATTAACTATGGGATATTGATGTAGTTATGCTGCAATTAATTGAAAACTTAGTGATTCAACCACTATCAATCATCATGGAAGTAACAAAAGAATGATTCTTACTCTTTAACTTCCTGAGCCACTGGTGTCGTGGCAATAGTGGCTGCTGATGCAGTGACTTTCCCTGAAGTTCTCAATGTTGTGCTCTTAATTGGTGAACTCAATGGTACTGAAGCACCAATGAAGCCACTGACTGCGTAATAACCACATAATTAATTCAGCCATGCTGAAAGCCTATGAATCAGATCGAGATCGAAACTGATGCAAAAACCCAGTTAAGCGCGCAGTTGACGGATCAGGAATTAAGAAGCATCAATCTCTAGGGTGTTAGAAATGGGCATGTTTTTGCACAACCCATTTCAATTTAGTGTTAAATAGTATGAAAAAGAAAGAACCTGTGCTGTACAAAGAACCAATTCAACTTAATAATTCAGAATCTTTTTTCCCAGGCTTACCAAGAGTGTTTGAGATGGATGGATTGAGCTTCCTGGAGGTAAAAGATTGAGGTGGAGAAGTAACAATAGTGGCCATTCTTCCTGGATTAGGCTTAACTCAGGGACTGGACCAAAGTGTGGAATTGTTCTGCTAGAGATGAATAACTCAAGCGAAGACTGCAGAAGAAGTATATAGGGAATGGGAAGCAACCTCAATCACAAAAAAAAAACTTGCCAAAATAATATCTTTCTAATTTCTTTATTTTAGCCATATCCAGTTGGGAAGAAGACAAACAGACAAAATATCTCTGGTGCCTTGGGACAATGTAAACATGTTTTTTCCTTCTTTCTTCTTTGAAAGAGTACCCGTTAGGGTCCTATAAATATCTGCAAACCCCTCTTCGAAAGGAATTTCAACCCACTAAGCTTCTCATTATAGCGTTTGAAAGTGGCAGCAAATTAAGCTGCTACGAATCAAAACGAGACAAATGAAGAAAGGGAGAAAGTAAGGTCACTTGGTATTGAAATTGCTTATGGTAAAAAGTATACAACATTTGAACTGTTACAATGAAACGGAAGCTTACAACTGTTGCAGACAAAAACATCAGAATGCAAATGTAGCAGCAGCCAACAACACTCTTCTTAAACAGTAAACACATTACTTTGTTTCCAATATGCCACAAAACAAGAACAAGAACAAGGAAACAAAGCAATTATAATGAACAAATACGAATATCATCCATTGATTCATCCTAAGAGGGAGATCCCATCAACGATGAGAGCATCAGCCAGGACTTGATTAGCAGCCTGCGAAGGATGGACACTGTCCCAGAAAACATACTGAGTCGCATTCGGACACGTCCCCACCGACTTCGCGTTGCACAAAAGCACCGTCGTCTCAATCGTCCCTGTTCCGCAGCACCCCCTTCTCGCTTCAGTAAAACCTGCATGTTAATCAGTTCCCAACAGGGATATTAGAAACTGACCCAGTTCACAAAATTTCACCACGGACAAAGGGTAAGTTTCTGTTTCCCATTTGGTTACCGAAATCAGAAGGCTTTTTCACGAGATCGTAGAGTGGTTTGAAGATGTCGAAAACGACGATCTTCATCCCTGGCAGCTGCTTCTGCAGATTCGCCACCGCCGAGCCGATCTTCTTGTTGAACTGCTGAGCGTCCGTGTTGAATTGCGAGACGCAGCCGCTCTCATGGTACCCAAATATGGTTCTGGCTGCTGGCAGGCACCCCAGTGGCGGGAGTGACGTCAGCCCTAGCCTTCTCCCTCCCAGGCCATACAATCCCTGCGTCGTGTTAGAACGAAATTAGACAAGGTAGGAGTGGTAAAATTCATAATAATCAAGGAAAGGAAAGGAAATTTAGTTACCTTGACAAAAGTGTTGAATGAGCTGACCAGGTAAGAACCATACTGGTCAGCAGTGTAGACTTTGTTGAGCAGAGGGTTAACGTAGTAGTTCTGCAGGAAATCACTGCTGCCTGCACTCAGTACGTAGAGCGAGTCCTTGATGATTGTAGCTGATTTGTTGGCTCCTGCAACTTTGGCTAGCTTGCCTTTGTACTCCTTGAACAGCTCCAGCTGCTGAGACAGAGTAATTGCATGCTGCAACCCACCAACACAGAGAGAAACACAAAGTATTATACGGACATGCAGCAAAAGATGGAGTGGTAATTAGTAAGTTGATGATCTATCCCTGTGTGATCCAAAATTTTACATTGAGAGCAGCAGCTTTGTCGTCAAAACCAGAACCAGCAGAGGCGAAGTTGGCTCCAATTAGAAGGTTGTTCCCCATTGCATCAGGGCTCAGATATGCTGGTGGGTAAGTCTTGAATCCCAGAGTGTCAGCTGTCAATTTTAGGATGAGGTAAAATTAAGTATCAAATTGAGGGACTAAAATTTGGCAGCAGTGTGCATATGAAATATGAATCTAGTAAAGGAGATGCATATATTTACCAGTGATATCAGTGGCCAATTTGCCATTGCAGAACCTGCCAGTAGGCTGGTGGTTGACGAAGTCTCTGCCATAAGGAGGGTAATTTGCCTTGAAGATTGTGGGGAGGTAGTCATTGTTGCCGACATCAACGGCTGAGTCCCCAAATGTCATGATCCCGGGAACAAGTTTATCATCCTGTGCATGTGAAAGAAGCAATGCTGAAGCTGCAAGAAGAAGAAGAAGAAGATGAAGTAGAGACATGGTTGTGAAAGAGGTTCCCATTGTCTCTATTCCCCCCCTCTGGTTCTGTTCTGATTTGTGGGGAGGAAGGTAAGTAAGGATTGTTGTAGTGAGAAGAAGGTGTAGGGAGTTAGTTGCCTTGGAGTACAACTTATAAAGAGGGCATGACGGTGACTCAAAATAGAGAAATGAAGGAGGAAATATGAGGTCAATTACATAAACGATCACTAAACGGTGGGGTGACTGATAGGTTGGTCACTGAACTTTCATCTTTTGTTTTTGTAACACTGAACTAGTGAACTTTGATCTTTTTGTAACACTAAATGGGGAAAGTTAATCTGCTAACTTGAAAATTCGTTAGCAGATACTAACTAATATTCAAAATACATAAACTAATATCCAAGTACTAAGCATAGGCTAGTATTCAATGTTTGCTAACTGATATCCACCATGAATCAACTATTACCCAAAATTCACAAACTAATATCTTGACAACACATAATAGTATCCAAACATCACATAATTAGTATCCAGATAACACATAAGAGTATCCATATTGAATATTGGTTGGTTGATCGTGGATATTAGTTGGTATCTGCTATCTGAATACTAGTTTGTGATGTTTTGAATACTAATCTGTGATATCTAGATACTTAGCAGACTTGGATATTAGTTTATACATTTTGGATATTAGTTAGTATATACTAACGAATCTTCAAGTTAGCAGAATAACTAGACTGCACTAAATGGTGGTCTTTGGCAAGATGAATTCCCTAACAGTTGCGTGTTGAACGTGTTGGTGTGGTCTTAGGTAATTTGATGTGATTGAGTTGGGATTAGGTTGAGTGATGACTTTCGTTTGGATTGTTTGATCTCGATTCTAGCATCAATTTAGATGAGTTCCAATTAGCTAATTTGGATGAATAAAGTACACAATGGAAGCATACAAATAGACTTGATCGGTTTTTCAGTTATTCGAAATGAAGATGAAAGATTTGTTAAAATTCAAAGTAGAGTGACCAATATGTTAGAGACCCCAAATATGGAGGGCGATCGTGGAATTGGCCTGCGGAAAACAGAGATAACAATGATGGAAGTGAGAGTGTTGATGAAAGGAGGATGGGAGTTGAGAAATGGGTATCATAAATGAGAGTTGTTCAGAGAGCAATTATATTGGGCATTCAAAGCACATAACACAGCAAAGCTCACTATAAAGATAATTATATTTACAATTTTCGGGTGTACATAATCAAAATAAATATATGTACTCCTCTTCCATTCTGTAATGCTCTTCCAAATGTAGAAATGGTACCGAAATTTTGGAACGGTTCAATCGTTAACGAAATGTTTGCTAGCTGTTTATCTCGTAGTGAGTTCTCAACAAAGGCTATCCTCCAAACGAATTCACAAGTATTCATGCACATGTTTTCTTATCCCGAGTAGGGTAGGATAGGTGATCATACATTCATATTTATGCATCTCCTCTACTTTTACAACCACTTTGTACATTTAGGAAAGATGGGACATACACTTTAATTATGAATATATATATAAAATAAATATGATGTTTATTATTTGGCCAGGTAATGCATTAAGATTTAAGAGTGTTGCATTTCTCTGGTAATTTACTTGAATTTTTGTTGTGCTTTTGAAATTATTTTATCTGGTCTTTGTGGCGTAGACTTCTATGGAAATGGAAGTGTGACGCCATTTATATAGCAAGTTGACGATGTAATTAATTAGTAGTGTATACGTCCTTGTCGCGGTGGCAGTAAGCCGCGGCAAGTGTTTCTGGTAATCGTGATACGCTGAATTTTCTTTACTTTACCCATTGATGCTATGCATCCTATCAATCATCGTACATGATCTATGTTGCATCGATCTTTGCTTCACCATTTGGTCACACATTAGCAAATCTATAATAACGAAAACAAGCATGGATGATCGTTCAATCCCTATTGAGCCAACGCTAATGATACTTAACATACCGTTAGATTCTAAGTCATTATGCGCATGTAAGCTTCTATATGTAATGACCTTTAAACTTGGACAACAAATATATCATAATTGTTTGGTAATAACAAAGCCTACTAATGAAGCAGAAAATGAACTTCTCGCGTGAGGTCGTGTGAATAGTGGTCAGGCTAATTTAGCTACTTTAATTCATTAGTAATGAATGTTACCTACGCAGTGGTTGGTTAGGGGGTAATCGAAAGTTACTCGGCATAATAAATCTCGCGAAGGAACGAGAACACATAGTTATGTCATGTAATTATGTCCATGTACATATTAGTTTTATCCGTAGCTAACGGGTTAGTGATTTAAGTTGATTAGTAATTAACCATTACTTGGAAAGTCAGACCAACCACTCAAATTGCAATTACTAAAATATTTTTTGTAGCTAGGGGTGGAAGTATAGTATCGGTATTTTGGATACACTAATTATCACACTGAATTTATCATTATTTGGTATTATCGATTACCAAGTTATTTTTTTGGGTTTGTAATTGAGAGTGATTATTTAGTATTATTCGAGATTCGAGATATAAGATTGGAATTGATATATACCAAGATATCATGCAATACTAAAAATTTAAACATGATACATTGAATCTTCTCTTAACAAAGTGACCCTCAACTCCCTCTCAAATAAATAAATGTCATGGTTCCCCCTTAACTAAATAATAATTATCTATGTGAGTGTAAGAAATGACCAATTCTTATTGACTTGCGTTTATCCTCATGATGAAATATCTTAAAAGAATGATTGCTTAGTTGTATTGATGAATAATTATAGTGAAATTTAATTGAAGTTTAGAGAATTATTAGTTATTTAGGAATATTGAGGTATAAGTTTATTTCATAGTACATAATACTCCACTTATCATATACACAATTTTTTTTAATATTCAATCCGAACTACCTTAATTATTATTGTTTGTAATATGATGTTCAGACCAACGATGCTCAAGCGTATAGCTTTATCTAAACTGAAACCCTCATTTTGCTTAGAAGATCTGCCAAAATCTGTACTTATCCTTCGGGTAAAATACCTTGAGTACCACTTAAGTTTGAGAATTGGGGCAGACATACCACTTAAGTTTGAATAGGGCGTCGGGTACCACTGAACTCTATTATTTGTGCACCCGGTACCACTTAATTTTAATGTTAGATGCATTCCGTTAAAGTTAACAGAATATTCTTGGAATATTCTGTTTTCTAAATTTCTTAATCAGTCCTTCTACTTTTCTTATTGTAAAGAATCATTTTGACTTATGAAAAACATCAATTTTCATGATTTAGTTGGTATATTCTTTTGAATACTTGATACCAAATTGATTTGTGAATAGAAAATTTAGAATCAACTATCATTATAAGTATTTTTAATTATCATTATGTTTTCTAATAATTGAATTATTCTCTAAAGCAAATATATCCTATGAATTCTATTTAGTTGGAATCCTCTTTTGAAGACTTTGAAACCAAATCAATTTTTGAATAAGAAATGTAGAATCAATTATCATTATAAGTATTTTCAATTACCATTATAAGTTATAATAATTGAATAATTTGATGAAGCAAATATATACTATGAATTCTATATCGATATAAATAATATGAGAATGTTATATTTAATTCTCGTACATCATGCTGGTGTTGTATAATTTTCTATGTTAAATATCCTTGTAATTTTCTAATATTATATTTTAGATGTTCCATATTAATTAAATTTACTAATTCTAATTCTCTTCCTATAGTTGTATTTTTTTTCATATTTGTTACGGAATGTTGTAAATTTTATTTATTTATTACTTGGTTACTTTCGTTCTCTTTTCGTTCTAAATTTTCTTCAATTACTGGAATATGTTTAATTCTTTCTGACTCGATTCCATTTATCCTTCTTTGGTATTGATGTATTAATGATCGACTAGGTTCTATTTTAATTATATTTAATAGTATTTCTAATTGGATTAGCGATTTAAATAGATCTTCTAATATTGATTTTAAATATTTATTATTATATCATATATATTTATTCTTCTTCTTGGTATTTGTTTATTATTTTTACTAATTTATCTATTTTATTGTGAATTTTGATTAGTCATTTAAGTAATATTATGTTTATAATGTTTTTTAATTTCTATATTAGATAAAAACTTGTTGAAATATAGTTTTGGATGTTTTTAAAAGTTTTGGGTACCAAAAAGTAATTAAAATTTTGGGTTGGATGGAAAACTAGACGGATGCACATTTTGGCGACTTTAATGGTACCCGACGCCCTATTCAAACTTAAGTGGTATGTCTACCCCAATTCTTAAACTTAAGTGGTACCCAAGATATTTTACCCCTTATCCTTCCTTCATAGGTTCAAATGAATATCTTCTCATAATATGAGTATTGAGGATATTGTAAAATCTAATTTCTTTCCATGGTTGGAAATCTATATTTTTTTTTATAATAATATCTGTGCTTTTTATTAGTGTGCTAAAGCATGGTTGGAAATCTATATTATATGTTCAATTCTTTGTGTTTTCTTGTTTTTATAGTAATTTGTTTTATTCTATTATTTGAGTTTATGAGTGCTCGACCGGTGATTGTGGCTTAAAGGCTTGGAATGAGCTAGGTTCTAGTGAGTGACTGAGCCTTGAAGACCTAGACAAATAGCTAGATTATGATGAAGCTTCATCTTCGTTTTTTATTTAGTGATTATTAGTCTTAGACTATGTTTAGTCATTGAAGTATTTGTGTGATTGTGATCACTAAGTAGTAATATTGTAAACTAAATTATGGAATGTTAATTAGAGGAATATTTTGTTAGTATTCACATGCATGCATGCATAGACGATATGAGAGTAATCACTAGCCATATCACAAAATGGATACAACTAAAACTTGTTAGAAAATTAAAGAAACGACAAGGACTCAAAATATTCAAATCAACGAATGTATTTATAGGCTCAAGGAGTGTAGTGGGAGGGTGGAAAATATCTTAAATTATTGTAACTTCAGAGAGCATTAAGTCCTATGTATGTGCAGTGAAGAGTGTTCTTGAATGATACGTGAAATGGGTACTGGCTATGTGATTAATTGGAAAAGTACTAGGGGCTTTGAAGATGAAGTAGTATAGCGATAAGGGTTATGTTCATATATGGCGAAACAATCATGTATGAACAATTATGTACATGGCGAAACTCGAACCTTTATAT